GTTGCGAACGATTTTGGTGACTAGAGCGATGGAGGTCATATCGTAAAGCAAGTGCGATGAACATTCCTGGGACCACGATATCACCTAGCCTAAATGCATATGAGTAAATGTCGTTCCGGCTAGTTTGCAAGCTCACCCAAGCATTGTATACCCATATTCGTCGGTGAAGAATTTAGACTTTGGCCACAAGATCTTGATGGGCGCATCTAAACCCTGAGCGACTGTCACCATCTGTAGGGTCATTGAGAAATGTTATTGCGACAACGACTTCAAGCTTACCACGCTAGATCCAAAGACCGGTTTACTGCCAAACACCCACCATATGTCGTAGAGAAACAAGCCAGATAAAAGGACGCAGCCAGTCATCCAGGAGTCAAGCTTGATGGTCGATAATCCTGTGTAGCACAAGGAAAGGCTCATTATATCTATTAATACCGTATGCTGACTATCCATTATATCGGGAAAGAAGAGATAGACCGTGGAAGGGTATATCGCCAGGGGAATAAGGAATAAGCTTAGAGTAGGGTACTTTAATGTGAACAGCTTGTCCGTGTCGTGATGTAAAGATAGGGTGAGGTGCGAAAGTTTACGCCACCGAGGTTTCCCGACAGTATTTTTGGCGAAAGCTACTAGCATCTTTGGTTTTCCTTAGTTGGTTGAAACAGTACGGAGCGCTGAGCACACACCTTCCACGTGGATGCTGCGGTGGCCAGAGATAGATAGATTTGCAGAAAGGTGTTGATCCAATAAACACTTATGTACTTGATGATTAAATAAAGACTGAGAAGCACGATCGAGCCTAGAACGGGGAACCAATACGCGTCCTCTAGTCTAATTTCTTCAACATGTTCCTCTTCTTCCTCTCCGTCGGTGCCTTCCTCATCAGATGTTTCAGTCTTTTTCTTCGACTCCTAGGTCGGACAATGTGAGAGGCCTGCGTCAAGGATGCATAAAGGTACGGAGGGGGCATACCGGGATGGATGCAAGGCTCCCACAATAAATAGATACGACAGCGAGAGAGATTAAACCCGCATAAGAAGTTATATAGTCGGCCAAATCAGGGGTGTTGGACATCGAGTGGCCGTGGTCGGAGAAAAGGTTTTTCTTAAACTCCTACCACTTCCCTACACTGCTGGCATATGTTCAAAAAGGCTCAATGTCTCATAATTCGTAACAAACCTAATCCTCATTACTCTGTACAAACCAAACTTCTGCAGCAACGCCAATATGCGGCCTCTAGTAAAGGCAAGGGATCAAGAACAAAGATGGAACCTGCACCTGCTCCTCCGGATGGGCAACTACCCTCTCTTGATAAATGGAAGGAAACGTTCTGGCATCAAAGCATGAAGCCAATACTTCATAACCTGGTCACTGGGAGGAAGCTAGTGGAAGCGTTTGGCATCTACGATGCAAAGGTCCCAAAGGTTATCATTGAAGCATTCGCTGGTAAGAACTTTTTGTCTCGATACCAGTTTATAAACTTATTCGTTTTCAGGTCCTGGTGTTTTATCAAGAGCGTTGTGTGAATTGCCACCTTCCAAGATGAGCAAGCTCATCATACTCGAGAACAATCCTATGTATCTACCATATTTAGAGGTAAATGTAGTCCAATAACACTTCGAAGTTTACTCAGCGCTTGCAGACTCTGGCGGCCTTGGATAAGAGAGTCGTACTACGACCTTACGACGGCTGGTCGTGGGATTCATATAATAAGATATCGAACGAAGGCCTATTGGACGATATTGAACCCGAGAACTGGAATAACACCATCCGAGATTCTCGTGAGTCCGTCAACTTACCCATTTGATTGAATGGCCGATACGTCAGAGTACAGATCCACCTCATTCCAAGTTGCATTTCATTGCGACGACTCTCCCCTGGGGCATTAAAGGAGAATCTCTTTTCAATCAAATGTTTCGAGCGGTCGCAAGTAGGGACTGGCTATTCAAATACGGAGCAATGCCGTTCAGCGCTGTTTTCCCCGAATCCTTTTGGAAGGTATAGATACTTCCGCATCGATTATTCCCATAACTCATTATTCCAGCGAGCTATAGCAATGGTCGGTCAACGAACGAGATGCAAACTCTCCTGTATGGTGGAAGCCACAGTATCAGCAGAGTTGGCCTTAGATTCCAAAGCCCTCGAGACGTACCCGGCTCATTTCTTTCCTCCACATAAACATGGAAAAGACTTTATGGTAGCGGCTAATTTCCGGCCTTTGGGTTACCAGGTAAGCCTTTCTATTTCAGGAAATCCTCTATTTCTGACCTGAATCATACTCGTTAAGGTTATGAGACTGGCAGGAATCTCAGAATGGGACTTTGTTTTACGAGCTCTGT